ACTTTTTCCACTGTTTCCTCATCTATTTCCATGAAGTGATGGGACCAGATGCCATGATCTTAGTTTTCTGAATGTTGAGCTTTAAACCAACTTTTTCACTCTCCTCCTTCAGTTTCATCAAGAAGTTCTTTAGTTCCTCTTCACTTTCTGGCATAAGAGTGGTGTCATCTGCGTATCTGAGGTTATTGATATTTCTCCCACCAATCTTGATTCCAGCCTGTGATTCATCCAGCCCAGAGTTTCTCATGATATACTCCGCATATCAGTTAAATAAGCATGGTGACAATAAAAATATACAGCTTTGATGTACTCCTTTCCCAACTGGAACCAGTCTGTTGTTCCATGTCCAGTTCTAACTGTTGCTTCTTGACCTGCATACAGATTTCTCAAGAGGCAGGTCAGGTGGTCTAGTATTCCCATCTCTTTCAGAATTTTCCACAGTTTATTGTGATCCACACAGTCAAAGGCTTTGGCATAGTTAATAAAGCAGAAATAGATGTGTTTCTGGAATTCTCTTGCTTTTGCGATAATCCAACGAATGTTGGCAATTTGATCTCTGGTTCCTCTGCCTTTTCTAAAACTAGTTTGTACATCTGGAAGTTCATGGTTCATGTACTGTTGAAGCCTGGCTTGGGGAATTTTGAACATTACTTTACTAGCGTGTGAGATGACTGAAATTGTGCAGTAGTTTGAGCATTCTTTGGAATTGAATGAAAACTGACATTGTCCAGTCCTGTGGTCACTGCTAATTTTTCCAAATTTGCTGGCATATTAAGGGCAGAACTTTCACAGCATCATATTTTAGGATCTGAAATATCTCAACTGGAATTCCATCACCTCCATTAGCTTTGTTCGTAGTGATGCTTCCTAAGGCCTACTTGACTTCACATTCCAGGATGCCTGGCTCAGGATGTCTGGCTCTAGGTGAGTGATCACACCATCACAATTATCTGGGTCATGAAGATCTTTTTTGTACAGTTCTTCTGGGTATTCTTGCCACCTCTTCTTAATATCTTCTGCTTCTGTTAGGTCCCTACCATTTCTGTCCTTTATTGTGACCATCTTGGCATGAAATGTTCCCTTGGTATCTCTAATTTTCCTGAAGAGATCTCTAGGGTTTACCATTCTATTGTTTCACTCTATTTCTTTGCACTGACCACTAGGAAGGCTTTCTTATCTCTCCTTGCTGTTCTTTGGAACTCTGCATTCAAATGGGTATATCTTTCCTTTTCTCCTTTGCTTTTCACTTCTCTTCTTTTCACAGCTCTTTGTAAGGCCTTCTCAGACAGCCATTTTGCTTTGCATAGTGGACTTATGTACATAAAAATAAAGTCTTTGAAAACTATATAGAGCACCTACAACTAATGGCTGACACATTACCTACTGTGCTAATGAGGCATTTACTACTAATAATTAGATATAATTAAGTATTTCCCCAAACCTCAAGTAAACATAAAAAGATTGAAATCATGGCTTCAAATATTTCAGAAATTATATTCATATAAGAAGCTGTTTTCAAAGACTTCCTAAAGCAATGTCTGCAGGCTTTAATTTCTAGCTCTTAACTAATAACTGTTTACTGTCTCAACACTGAGAATATTATACACAAGAGAGCTAATGATATTATCAACAACGAATGAAAAATGCAGATTTTAATTGCTCCTGTACTCCAATATCTCATCCCTGATGAAAGAAAATCTTGAGGGAGTTTCAATAGCTTCCAATATGTTTTTGATATTATTAATACCTCTTATATACTAAAACCTTAGATAAAAGGATGTCACTTTGTCTAGTGTCTCTGGTAGAATTATAAGGAAGCTACAATAAGGAGTCATGACTCTTGATTCATAGTCTCTGCGAACAACTCAGTAATCAAGATTTGAATTTGAACACTGAGTAAAAGAGAGCTGTTCTATCTTGAACAGCCCCTACCTTCATCATCGAGATTTCCCTTAGAGAGTACTTGTTCTAAAGCACACATACACCCCAGTCTAAGGTTTCCAAGAAAAGGGTGAGTATCTGAACTCCATCTGTTACAGAATTTTTTAATCTGAGAATATTAAAGGAGTCTAACCTCTTCACATCATTACAGAGATTTCCTGAAAGTGGTTGATATCTAAAAATGGTTGCTCGCTTCTTAATGTAACACCTCTGAAGGGAGAAAACTCTCTTTTTCATAATTCAACCTATATTACATTCAGACCCATTTAATGGTTAGACAGCCTTGTTATTGAACCAGGTATCTTATGGGCTGCAGCTCTGTCCTTTGAGGTAACATACAATAAATCTAATTCCAATTCATGTTTTTAGTTGTGTGGGTACTTGGAGTAAATTATTTTGATCCAAATATTGTTGTCTTGGATAATTACAATTTGAAATTCACCATCATAAAGTATAGCCCCCAGAACTAAGCACAATTCATAAGATGTATTTTTTTTCCGTAGTGTGATTATCACTCCCTTAAATTTGGATGTTATGTTTTCTTTAATGAATTCATTGGCAGTTTGAAGCATTTTCTCTTGATCCAGATGTTTTGAACACAGATTCATTAGGCCATTGCTTCCCCATTTTGAATGTTTTTGCAGACCTGGCTTATTCATACCATTATATCCTTCCAGGTTCTTTTCTTTTTTGGAAGCTTTCATTGACCCCTCCCCTGGGTTAACACCATAGTCACCATGTTCTGGAGGATCTGTTCAATCATTTATGATATTGTCTGGTCTGCCCCCTCCACTCTCTCTAGACTGTAAAACTCTGAAGAGTAGGGATTCTCTCTTATTTATCTCTATATCCTAAAGGTCCACAGCAAATTGTGTTTATAGACTATTAAATTTTTTATAATATCAAATGCTATCAGATACACAGGCTAATAGTATCTTCTAGAATCATTATCATCATAAAAGTGTCTGTTATTCTCTATACTAACATCATCTACAAATTTCATAATGATTTATTTTATGGTATTATCAGAGTTATTAGTAGAATATTTTTTCAATGTAGGACTGCATCCTTCTCCAGAAGAGCTTTCCAACCCAGGGATTGAACCTGGGTCTCCCACACTGTAGGCAGATGCTTTACCATCTGAGACACCAGGGAAGCTCAAGTACACAGTACCATGGAATAATTCTCAAAATGATATCGCAAAGTGCAAGGTCCACTTTTTTAAAATATAAATTTGTATTTAAAAAGGTAAACAGTTTTACCTGCTGTTATCACTAAATTCTAGAAAAATAGCTTAAAAAATAAAACCACAATTTGCAGTGTCCTGCTAGCTAAAGACTAAGAGGACCTTACTCTGAAATGACAGTCTTCATAATCAGGACTGAAATTTATGCCAATGAATGAAAAATGTCAATAACAAGAGGGTGGCAGAAAGTAAACGTTCGTATCATGATTACAGTTTTTTCAGCTCTTATGCTCTTTGAGTCTAGTGTATGTTTTATGCATGTTTTGATTTTGAGATAGTATTTCTGAAGATATCAGTATTGGCTCAAATCCTTAATTATCACTTTTATTTCTTATGGCTATGTCAATGTTTTTAATCTGTACTATTCAGTTCAGTCAGTTCAGTTCAGTTGCTCAGTCGTGTCCGACTCTTTGCGACCCCATGAATCGCAGAATGCCAGGCCTCCCTGTCCATCACCAACTCCCAGAGTTTACTTAAACTCATGCCCATCGAGTCGGTGATGCCATCCAGCCATTTCATCCTCTGTCGTCCCCTTCTCCTCCTGCCCCCAATCCCTCCCAGCATCAGGGTCTTTTCCGGTGAGTTAACTCTTTACATGAGGTGGCCAAAGTATGCCCTAAATAAATAGTAATCATTTTTGGTACACAAATAATCTCTGATGATACTTCTTGGGTCTCTTTCTTTTGAATTCATTGTGCTCTGCTGTGCATGGAATCATCAGATTTCTTCCAAACCCATATCCCAGAGATGGAAAGATAGAAATATTCTTTCTGCTTTGGTCTCTTGTGCCTATGGGGTAGTGCTTTGGTTTGAAGGTGAGTTTGAAGATGAGTACAAGGACACCAAGACCACACCCGTACTGTTGTTATAGCCTCAGGATCATGCAAGATCGACATTGTGCAGCCCTGGTTTCCCAGAATCTAAGCCCAGGATCATAAACAGGTCATGCAAAGTACTTAGCACATGGTGAGTATTCCATAAGAGATTTTAGGATGAATGAATTTAGGCTTTAATATTTCACAGTTCTGAATTCTCCTCATTAAGAAACTCATCTTTCCTGGACGTGAAGTTCATGTTGAATGATAGACTTATTGTTAGCCATCTAGTTGCTTTCTTGAGCTCTCTATCTGTATTTCTGAAAAGGTGACCAAAGTGAAGATATTCACTGCAAGGATCAGTTATTGATACACTAATGTCAGTACTTTATATTAATTTTTCCACTTATATTAATTACTGTGAATGGTTGCTCTGATTTGACAAAGAGAGATAGAAGGGCAGGTATGAGTAGCTAAAAGAAGACATGGAAAAGTGAGACAGAAAGGCCTTATTTTGTATCCTTGATCATGTACTTTTTATATACCTAACTGTGGGAAAATATCCAACCACTATATTAGTTATCCAGTATGTAAAATAGACATAGTAGTATTTCCTCTGTAGGAGATTTGAGAGGAATGAAAACAAATCATGGAAAGTTCTTATAATAAAGTTAACGAAAAGTTTCTTTGGCTGTTTAGGGACTGGGCAATACTGAGACCCACTGGAAGAGTGCTTTGATTTGATAGCATAGAACAAACAAAGGAACATTCCATCTTATTTGTTAATATTTACATGTCTTATGTTACTGAGATGCTCTTTGACCACTAGTGTAGATCAGGGACAGAGAACTGGAGCTATCTGCTTGAGAAGTCTTGTTTTTTATATTACATGTCACTGTAATTGGTTTTTTATTACATGTCATTGTAATTGGTTTTTATATTACACCTCATTGTATCCACTACAATTTTTCATTTCTTCCATAAATTCCCAGAGGGAAATGGCAGCAGGAAATCACTCCTCAGTGACTGAGTTCATCCTTGCTGGGCTAACAGAGCATCCAGGACTCCAGCTGCCCCTTTTCTTCCTCTTCCTAGGAATCTATGTGGTCACGGTGCTGGGAAACCTGGTCATGATCATACTGATTGGGCTCAGTTCTCGCCTGCACACCCCCATGTACTATTTCCTCAGCAGCTTGTCCTTCATTGACCTCTGTCAGTCCACTGTCATTACCCCCAAAATGCTGATGAGCTTTGTGACAGAGAAGAATACTATCTCCTACCCAGCATGTATGACTCAACTCTTCTTCTTCCTTGTTTTTGTTATATCAGAATGTCATATGTTGGCTGTAATGGCGTATGATCGCTTTGTTGCCATCTGTAACCCCTTACTTTACAATGTCACCATGTCTTATCAGCTCTGTTCTTGCATGGTGGTTGGGGTTTATATCATGGGCTTGACTGGTGCCACAGCTCATACAGGCTGCATGCTAAGAGTGCTTTTCTGCAAGGCTGATGTGATCAACCATTACCTCTGTGATCTTTTCCCTCTACTGGAGCTCTCCTGTTCCAGTACTTACATCAATGAGGTAGTAGTTTTGTGTTTCAGTGCATTTAATATCCTCACCCCAATCCTGACCATCCTCAGCTCCTACATCTTCATCATCTCCAGCATCTTCCACATTCGGTCCATGGAGGGCAGGTCCAAAGCCTTCAGCGCATGCAGCTCCCACATCTCAGCTGTTGCTATTTTCTATGGATCTGCAGCATTCATGTACCTGCAGCCATCATCTGTGAGCTCCATGGACCAAGGGAAAGTGTCCTCTGTGTTTTACACCATTATTGTGCCCATGCTGAATCCCCTGATCTACAGCCTAAGGAATAAAGATGTCAAAATTGCCTTCAATAAAATCCTTGAAAAAAGAAGTTTCCTGTGATAACAAGTGTTTTGCCTTGGCAAAATTTTATAATTTCCTGAGAAAGTTTGGTAAGAAAACAGTCCAGACACAGGAATGTGTGTCTACAAGTAATGAGATGGTTTCTACTATTAATTCTTGATTTTTGGGGGTGAAAGTGGCAGGGAGAGGACTGGATTTATACTGTTATATGGAGAGCAGCACTGTTTGAGGATGTGCCAGTGTCCACATGTCCATAAAACTCTGTATTACCTCTAAATACTAATACAATATTCAAAGGACTTAATGTGGATTATTACAAGCATGGAATATGGAAGTTCTTTAGCCAAGACTTATTCATCTTAAATTTTTTTTTATTTTAAATTTTCATTTTTTTGGCCACCCTGTGTGACTTGCAAGATCTTAGTTCCCCCAACCAAGAAATAAACTTGGGTCCACAACGTTGAAAATGCTGAGTCCTAATCATGGGACTGCCAGGGAAATCCCAAATTTATTTATCTTAATTCAATGAATAAATCCATCTGATCAGTATCCTTTGATTTTCTCAATATGTTGTGTCCCTGTTGCTGTTTACTAGTAAGACAAATGTCTCTGAAAGTGTGATCTCTATAATAAACAATGTTTAGCCATTTGGAATCTATAAAATTCACTCTTTAATTCTTAGTTTGTGCACAGAAATGTGTTAGGAGATACAAGGGCATATGATGGGTGGTAAGACATAATTCCTATGTCATAGGACACACATATGCTCCACACTTCAGTGGAAGAGATTGACAATAATAAACAACACTGAAGAATTATGTGTATTTTGACTTATATCTTTATGCAGCATTTCTTACTCCATAGTTCTGAGATAATTCTGTCACCTCCATTTCCCTGACAATCCTGTGCTCATTTTCTCTTCTCTCTAAAAAATGTATCTTTTTGTGCCACTCATATTATAGAATCTTAAGATTTAGTAGTGATATTCTTTTATTATTACAACCATATGGATCATTCACATACAAGTTTAAAATTGAAAAAATTCCATACAAATTGTGAAATTATTTGTTCTAGTTCTGTGAAAAATACCGTTGGTAGCTTGATAGGGATTGCATTGAATCTATATATTGCTTTGGGTAGTATAGCCATTTTGACAATATTGATTCTTCCAATCCATGAACACGGTATATTTCTGCATCTGTTTGTGTCCCCTTTGATTTCTTTCATCAGTGATTTATAGTTTTCTATGTATAGGTCTTTTGTTTCTTTAGGTAGATATACTCCTAAGTATTTTATTCTTTTTGTTGCAATGGTGAATGGTATCGCTTCCTTAATTTCTCTTTCTGTTTTCTCATTGTTAATGTATAGGAATGCAAGAGATTTCTGGGTGTTAATTTTATATCCTGCACCTTTACTATATTCGTTGATTAGCTCTAGTAATTTTCTGGTAGAGTCTTTAGGGTTTTCTATGTAGAGGATCATGTCATCTGCAAACAGTGAGAGTTTCACTTCTTCTTTTCCTATCTGGATTCCTTTTACTTCTTTTTCTGCCCTGATTGTTGTGGCCAACACTTCCAAAACTATGTTGAATAGGAGTGGTGAGAGTGGGCACCCTTGTCTTGTTCCTGATTTTAGGGGAAATGCTTTCAATTTTTCACCATTGAGGGTAATGCTTGCTGTGGGTTTGTCATATATAGCTTTTATTATGTTGAGGTATGTTCCTTCTATTCCTGCTTTCTGGAGAGTTTTAATCATAAATGGATGTTGAATTTTGTGAAAGGCTTTTTCTGCATCTATTGAGATAATCATATGGTTTTTATCTTTCAATTTGTTATTGTGGTGTATTACATTGATTGATTTGCAGATATTAAAGAATCCTTGCATTCCTGGGATAAAGCCCACTTGGTCATGGTGTATGATTTTTTTTAATATGTTGTTGGATTCTGTTTGCTAGAATTTTGTTAAGGATTTTTGCATCTATGTTCATCAGTGATATTGACCTGTAGTTTTCTTTTTTTGTGGCATCTTTGTCTGGTTTTGGAACTAGGGTGATGGTGGCCTCATAGAATGAGTTTGGAAGTTTACCTTCTTCTGCAATTTTCTGGAAGAGTTTGAGTGAGATAGGTGTTAGCTGTTCTCTAAATTTTTGGTAGAATTCAGCTGTGAAGTCATCTGGTCCTGGGCTTTTGTTTGCTGGAAGATTTTTGATTACAGTTTCGATTTCCTTGCTTGTGATGGGTTTGTTAAGATCTTCTATTTCTTCCTGGTTCAGTTTTGGAAAGTTATACTTCTCTAAGAACTTGTCCATTTCTTCCAAGTTGTCCATTTTATTGGCATAGAGCTGCTGGTAGTAGTCTCTTATGATCCTTTGTATTTCAGTGTTGTCTGTTGTGATCTCTCCATTTTTGTTTCTAATTTTGTTAATTTGGTTCTTCTCCCTTTGTTTCTTAATGAGTCTTGCTAATGGTTTGTCAATTTTGTTTACTTTTTCAAAAAACCAGCTTTTAGCTTTGTTGATTTTTGCTATGGTCTCTTTAGTTTCTTTTGCATTTATTTCTGCCCTAATTTTTAAGATTTCTTTCCTTCTACTAACCCTGGGGCTCTTCATTTCTTCCTTCTCTAGTTGCTTTAGGTGTAGAGTTAGGTTATTTGTTTGACTTTTTTCTTGTTTCTTGAGGTAGGCCTGTAATGCTATGAATCTTCCCCTTAGCACTGCTTTTACAGTGTCCCATAGGTTTTGGGTTGTTGTGTTTTCATTTTCATTCATTTCTATGCATATTTTGATTTCTTTTTTGATTTCTTCTATGACTTGTTGGTTATTCAGAAACGTGTTGTTTAGCCTCCATATGTTTCAATTTTTAATAATTTTTTCCCTGTAATTGAGACCTGATCTTACTGCACTGTGGTCAGAAAAGGTGGCCTCGAATAGCCAAAGTAATCTTGAGAAAGAAGAATGGAACTGGAGGAATCAACCTGCCTGACTTCAGACTATACTACAAAGCCACAGTCATTAAGACAGTATGGTATTGGCACAAAGACAGAAATATAGATAAACGGAACAGAATAGAAAGCCCAGAGATAAATCCATGAACCTATGGTCACCTCATCTTCGACAAAGGAGGCAAGGATATACAATGGAAAAAAGACAACCTCTTTAACAAGTGGTGCTGGGAAAACTGGTCAACCACCTGTAAAAGAATGAAACTAGAACACTTTTTAACACCATACACAAAAATAAACTCAAAATGGATTAAAGATCTAAATGTAAGACCAGAAACTATAAAATTCCTAAAGGAGAACATAGGCAAAACACTCTCCGACATAAATCACAGCAGGATCCTCTATGACCCACATCGCAGAATATTAGAAACAAAAGCAAAAATAAACAAATGGGACCTAATGAAACTTAAAAGCTTTTGCACAACAAAAGAAACTATAAGCAAGGTGAAAAGACAGCCCTCAGATTGGGAGAAAATAATAGCAAACGAAGCAACAGACAAAGGATTAATCTCAAAAATATACAAGCAACTCCTCCAGCTCAACTCCAGAAAAATAAATGACCCAATCAAAAAATGGGCCAAAGAACTGAACAGACATTTCTCCAAGGAAGACATACAGATGGCAAAAAAACACATGAAAAGATGCTCAACATCACTCATTATCAGAGAAATGCAAATCAAAACCACAATGAGGTACCATTACACACCAGTCAGGATGGCTGCTATCCAAAAGTCTACAAGCAATAAATGCTGGAGAGGGTGTGGAGAAAAGGGAACCCTCTTACACTGTTGGTGGGAATGCAAACTAGTACAGCTGCTGTGGAAAACAGTGTGGAGATTTCTTAAAAAACTGGAAATAGAACTGCCATATGACCCAGCAATCCCAGTTCTGGGCATACACACCGAGGAAACCAGATCTGAAAGAGACACGTGCACCCCAACTTTCATCGCAGCACTGTTTATAATAGCCAGGACATGGAAGCAACCTAGATGCCCATCAGCAGACGATTGGATGAGGAAGCTGTGGTACATATACACCATGGAATATTACTCAGCCATTAAAAAGAATTCATTTGAATCAGTTCTAATGAGATGGGTGAAACTGGAGCCCATTTTACAGAGTGAAGTAAGCCAGAAAGATAAAGACCATTACAGTATACTAACACATATATATGGAATTTAGAAAGATGATAACGATAACCCTATATGCAAAACAGAAAAAAAGACACAGATGTATAGAACAGAGTTTTGGACTCTGTGGGAGAAGGCGAGGGTGGGATGTTTTGAGAGAACAGCATCGAAACATGTATATTATCTAGGGTGAAACAGATCACCAGTCCAGGTTGCATGCATGAGACAAGTGCTCAGACCTGATGCACTGGGAAGACCCAGAGGGATCGGGTAGAGAGGGAGGTGGGAGGGGGGATCGGGATGGGGGACACATGTAAATCCATGGCTGATTCATGTCAATGTATGACAAAACCCACTACAATATTGTAAAGTAATTAGCCTCCAACTAATAAAAACAATAAAAAAATTTTAAAATAACCTTAAAAAATAAATAAATAAAATTGAAAAAATATTTTCTGATTAATGGTAAGTACCCATCTTATCCCCAAAGTATCTATCATGGAAAAGAAACTGAATTATTTTGAGGAAGAAAAGGAGATATTTAAGCAATAAATTCCCTTTCCCCTTGACTCAGCATGAGCTGTTACACCTGGTAATAGTCCCTGGTGGCTTAGATGGTAAAGAGTCTGCCTGCCAATGGGAGATGCAGGTTCAATCCCTGGGTCTGGAAGATCCCCTGGAGGAGGAAATGGTGACCCACTCCAGCATTCTTGCCTGGAAAAGTCCATGGACAGAGAAGCGAAGTTGGCTACAGTCCATGGGGTTACAAAGAGAGACATGACTGAATGACTAACACTTTTTTTCTTTTCAAACTGTGTTTTATTTTTTTTTTCATTTATTTTTATTAGTTGGAGGCTAATTACTTTACAATATTGTAGTGGTTTTTGTCATACATTGTGTTTTAAACAT